ATACTCCACTTTATGAGGCAGGTCCATTTATAATCCTCAAAACATCGATGAGCAAGAAATTATTACTGACTCTACGATACAGATGAAGAAACAGAGGCCCAGAGAAGTGACATCATTCATCCCCAGTTACACAATGAGGAAACAGCAGTCAGGATTCCAACCCAGACAGTACAGTTTGTATGTTAACAATGAAGACCTTTTGCCTTTCAAGATTGAGAACAGTGGCTAACACTCATGAAGCTCTCCCTATGTGCCAGGCTTCTCAACTCTTGACGTGCATGAACTTACTGCACCCTACAACTCTCTGAGGTAGACACAACAGCCCCCTTACTGGCACTGAGACTAGAACTTTCTTGGGTGGAGCCCAGGTCCTGTCCCAGTCAGCAATCCCAATGTCTCCTACACCCAGAAATTGCTGAACAAATGTCTGCTGGATGGATGAATGAACTATCAGACCCAGTGTTTTTTTTCTTGGCTCACGAATCAAGAGCGTACAGCGCCCAGAAATAGTTGCTTGGAGAAAATTATTATAATGGAATATAAATCTGTTGTAGTAAATATATACCTATGAGAACTAATATAAAGGCTAACTTCACATGCATATTTGCTGCATTTTCAAATGTGAGGTAGGGTAATTCCTTTATATTTCAGAGATTGTATTATATATTAGAAGATGTACTAACCGACCAAAAATGGGGCAAAGGGCTGCTTCTAAGACAGCTCCCACAATAAATCTAATGTGTGTTGAAGTGTTCTCACAGCTCACAAAAACAACACATCAACTTATAAAACCATCTCCATCTTTTGTCTAGCTATTGTTCTTTGACTTGACAGCAAATAAGTTTCACTTATTAGACACAATGAAGAAAAGTTTAAAATGTCATTGAGGGGGGTGCCTGGGTGGCTCACTGGGTTAAAGCCTCTGCCTTCGGCTCAGGTCATGATCCCAGGGTCCAGGGATCGAGCCACGAATCGGGCTCTCTGCTCCGTGGAGAGCCTGTTTCCTCCTCTTTCTCTGCCTGCCTCTCTGCCTACTTGTGATCTCTGCCTGTCAAATAAATAAATAAAATCTTTAAAAAAATAAAAATAAAATGTCATTGAGGGGCGCCTGGGTGGCTCAGTTGTTAAGCATCTGCCTTCAGCTCAGGTCATGATCTTGGGGTCCTGGGATTGAGCCCCATGTCGACTCCCTGCTCAGAGAAGCATCTGCTTCTCTTTTCCCTCTGACCCTCCCCCACTCTTGTGCTCTCTCTCACTCTCTCTCAAATAAATAAATATTTTTAAAAATAAAAATAATAAATCAGTAGGGAAATGCAAATCAAAACCACAGTAAGATATCACCTCACACCCATTAGTAACAAGTATTGGTAGGATGTGGAGAAATTGGAACCCTTGTACATGGCTTGTGGTTATATAAAATGGTGCAACCATTATGGAAAACTTAAAAACAGAATTGCCATAAAAACTTAAAAAAAGAATTACCATATAATCCAGCAATCCCACTTCTGAGTATATATCCAAAAGAATTGAAAGCAGGATCTCAGAGAGATATTTGCACACCCATATTCATTGCAACATTTTTCACAATAGCCAAGAGGTGGAAGAGACCCAAATATCCACAGACAGATAAGTAGATACACACAATGTGGTATCTACATACAATGGACTATTAGCCTTAAAAAACAAAGAAATTTGTCACATGTATGGATGAACCCTGAAGACATTATACTAAATGAAATAAGCCAGTAAAAACAAATACTATAGGAATCCACTTTGATAATGTATCTAAAGTGGTCAGAATCATAGAAATAGAAGGTAGAAGAGTGGTTACCAGGGCCTGGGGGCGGGGAGAAATGGGGAGTAGTTGTTAAGTGGGTACAGGGGTTCAGCTTCGCAAGATGAAAAAATTCTAGGGGCCCCTGGGTGGCTCAGTGAGTTGAGCGTCTGCTTTCTGCTCAGGTCCTGATCCCAGCGATCATGCCTCGCATTGGGTTCCCTGCTTAACAGAAGAGCCTGCTTCTCCCTCTCCCTCTGCTGCTTCCCCTGCTTGTGCTCTCTGTCAATGAGTAAAATATTTTTTTAAAAGTTGAGAAATTCTAGAAATCTACAAGTCACAGTAATGTGAAATATAATTAATACTACTTAACTGTACACTTAAAACTGGAAAGAGGATAAGTTTTATAGTATGCTGGTTTTTTTGCCAAGGGGAAAACAAAAAAAGCTAAAGCAAATAACAAAATGTTCGGATTTAATAAAGTTGGGTGTTGGTTATGTGGTTGGTTATAGTTATTATCTCCAACTTCCATTTATGTAATATTCCATAGTAAACATTTTTTTTTAAATATTTTTATTTATTAGTTGACAGAGATCACAAGTAGCAGAGAGGCAGACAGGAGAAAGCAGACGGGGCTTGATCCCAGGACCCTGAGCCCATGACCTGAGCCGAAGGCAGAGGCTTTAACCTGCTGAGCCACCCAGACGCGCCCCAATGTAAACATTTTAAAGTAGCTATGTTTTATTGGACAGATTTCATAATTTTAAGGCCCAAATGTAAAGACAATACAGACTTTCTCCCTGTGTTCATTTGGACATTCAATATCAAAGTTTCTAACTTGCTGGTAATGAATCAGGAGCTTCATCCTTCTATTGAAATAAACAGCCAAACGAGGAAATGACAAACCACTTATTAACTCTGTATTTTAAATATCAGATGATAATGTCAAGAAAACAACTGTGAATTTATCATTGGAAGCACAGTTTTCGCACAGATTTTTATTAAAAGACATCTAGCCAAGTGAAATTACTTAGAATCTTTGTTTTTTTTTCCAAAGAACTGCCTACGCAAAAAATATTTTGTCTATGGAAAATTAACTCTGGTTTTTTGCTTTGTATTTTGGTGCCTGAGGCTGTCACTAAATTGGGGTGTTCCCCCCCAACTGAACAAAGGTAAAACTGCATTACATTTACTACACATGTATTGAACACAATGCCAAGTATTGTGCTAAATTATCAAATTCCTGGTCTTTGGGATTTTATAATTCTGTTCTCTAATTTGTTCACAAATCATCTTTTACAATTTACTGCCGGAAATGACATTATGACTAAAATGTTCACTTAAAAACAGACCATAAAAAATTCACCTTGTTTTACAAGGACAGCACTTGTCTTCCTTCTGAAAACATTTTGCTTTGTTGAGGTTACCAAATGCCCCACTTTGGGAAAACATTAAACCAGGAAGCTGTATGACTAACTTGGTTCTGGCAATTGCTAGAACCTCCAAATGAAGTCATCCTATCCGTCAGGAGCTCTCCATTCTAGATTATTCTACCACCCAAACTCCATGACTCAGGAGAAGCTGCCAGTTCGTGACACAAACTCAGACTCATTCTAAGTTTAACAAAAAACAAATAAAAAATTTTAAAAATCACACTTTGTGACAAAAAAGCCTTTCATCAGCGACCTCCAAGTGCAAAATTAAAGAAACTTATATTTATGTTATTCTAGTAAACAGACCTTACCCAATTTTAGTTCATTTAACTTAAACTGTTGTTAAACTCATCATTTACCTGTCTATACTGTTAACTCACGGACACCGTTTTGGAAAAGGACGCTTAGAAATGCTGTATTTCAATGACTGACGACCTTTTCTGAGGGGTATGCCGCTGATTTGCATTAACGTGCTCATCTGCAGACTACTCCTCACTTAGGGAGGTTGGTTATTGCGCCACAAACAGCCCTCTGCTTGTTTATTTCCACCCCCGGCTCCATGACTCAGACTCTGGGCCACGTGTCCCCCAGAGCCCAACGCCCCTGCCTTAGTGGCGTTCCTCGGGTTATCTCCTTGCGGGACATGGGGCCACACCCACGGCGTAGGGAAACCAGCTAGAGGGGTCGTAGCTGGGAAATGCCACCTTATAGGGTCACGCGTTTGGAGGAGAAACACTATTTTCTTGTACACGAATTCCTCGTCTCCCAAAGCGGGTTTTCGGCTTCCCGATCCGCAGCTTTTCCCCCAACCAGAGTTCGGGAAAACAGCAAGGAGGTGAAAGAGACTGCAGGTTTCTGCCCACCGTCGTGGTCACCGGGAGCCCTAGCCCAGTCTCTCTGGGCCTCCTTGGTGGGGGCGGGGCGGGGGAGTGGGAGGCCGGCCCCCCACCCCACAGGTCTCGACCCGAGAGTCTAGCGTACGGATTCTCCTCGGGAATTGAGAAGGACAAAAGCATTCTGACTCTAAAAAGAGTGGCATTAAAGCTCCTTCATCCTGCTATAACCAAGGGCGAAAATGAAAGCAGCCCGGACAGGCTCGCGTTAAGATGGGGGTGGGGAAGTGTGCTTCCGCTGCAGACACTGACAAAACACAGCGGCGGGCCGCGCCGCTCCTGAGCGCCTCCGAACCCGAATCGGGGTGGCCCTCCCGGGAAAGTCGCTGCGGAAGACCCTTTCCCCCTACCTAACGCGGGAAAAACCTAAGACTTAGGGGGGTTTGGGACTTCGGAGGCGAGAGCAAACTACCCCACCTCCCCCACCGGCCGGAAGTACCCCTCTCTCTCAACGGCGCGCCTCTGTGGCGCACGCGCACCGAGTTACTTAGCAACGTCGGCTCTAACCCACCCCAGCTTGGAGCCCAGCAACAACCGAGCCGCCGCGTGTCCCACCAATCAGCGCCGGCCTCGCCTTCACACGCTTCACCAATCAGTGCCGGCGCTGCAAGGAAGTTTCGAGAGCTTTCGAGGAAGGTCCCCCTTAACTCAAATCCATCCGCCAGATAATTTTCCTACTTTTTCCTAAGGGAGGAGAAGGGTCGCCTGGAAGAGAGGGGAACTGATTTTTCAGGGTTTTTTCTTCGGCTCTGAGGAACCTCGGGCTCAGTGGAAGGGCCTAATCGGGCCGCGGGAGGTGGGGCCGCGCGAACTACTTTCAGCCGCGTACGGACACGGCGGCTACGTAAGCAGTGATGAGTCACGCAACAGACGCTGCATAAATTTCAGCCCCGCGGAGCCGCCAGCGTTCAGGAGCGGCTGGCATTGTCGGGTGTGGGTGTCTTGGTGTTTGAGTGACTCGACGAGATTGCGTTCAGTGTCCTTCCACTCGCTAACAGGTACTGGCCGGCAGCCTTCGAGACCTAGGAGGAGTGGAGAGGGGCTCTAAGTGAGACCAGGCTGACGGATTGGGAGGTGGGGGGGTTGCCTCAGGGAAAGGGGTTGGGGGAGGGGAGGGCGAGATGACGCGGCGCTGCGGCGCCGGGCCTTTCCGGAAGAGTGGGCCTTGTTTACGTGGAGGGAGCGGGGGCGGTTGGCGCGCGCGCGCCGACAGAGACCAACCGACACTCAACCAATGGAGATTCCATCGAGTCTGCTTCAGGGGGGGAAGGAGGAAAAAAGGTAGTCTAGTATGCTTTCTAGAACTGTCTTGAGTTTTGAATCCCAGCGCGGTGAAAGGGTCCCACCTCACTTTTTTCTTCAGACGGTAATTTTTATTTACCGAGATTCGGGTTTTGTTTTGTTTTTAAATTCTATGTATCTTCAGGTTTTGGGGAAATTCAAAGGGTGCGGGGGAAGACGGTTTAGAAGACTCTAGAGTAATTAGGGTTCTGGATATTAATCTTTGGGGTTTTTTTGTTTCTTGTTTTTTCTTTTCCGTTTAAGTTGAAGCCTTGATTAAATTTTGCATTCAGCGGCTGATTCAGGAATACTAAAGGGGGGAGTTGTGAGCGATGTTAACGTGGTTAAAGCACTTTGGAGATGAAATTAATTGTTCGCTTTAGAGAATGGGTTATAGGTGTGGGTAATATAAAGATTTTTAAGATTTATTTACTTCTTAATAGAGGCGGGGCGGGGGAGGGGGGAGAATCCCAGTCAGGCTCCATGTTTAGCGCAGATCCTGACTCTCAGGGGCTCTCTCCCACGACTCTGATGACCTAAGCGGGTGTCTTGAGTGAAGGCACTTAACCCATTGGGTCACCCAGGCACCCCGCTAATTAATACAAGGATCTTGAGATGGTACGCTGACGTTTTTCTTCTTAAAATCTAGGTCAAGATGCAGATCTTCGTGAAGACCCTGACCGGCAAGACCATCACCCTGGAGGTGGAGCCCAGTGACACCATCGAAAATGTGAAGGCCAAGATCCAAGACAAAGAAGGCATCCCCCCAGACCAGCAGAGGCTTATCTTTTGAGCAGAGAGCCCGATGCGGGACTCGATCCCAGGACCCTGAGATCATGACCTGAGCCGAAGGCAGCGGCTTAACCCACTGAGCCACCCAGGCGCCCAGTTTTTTTTTTTTTTAAAGGTTTTATTTATTTATTTGACAGACAGAGATCACAAGTAGGCAGAGAGGCAGGCAGAGAGAGAAAGAGGAGTCCCGAAGTGGGACTCGATTCCAGGACCCTGGAATCATGACCTGAGCCGAAGGCAGAGGCTTTAACCCACTGAGCCACCCAGGCGCCCCTCAAAGGGCAGTTTTTAATTCCACAGTAATTAAGGAACCTGTTCTTTACCTTCCTTTTGGCATCAAATAAATTCAAAGAGAGAAGATCTATTAGGGTGACACTAATGTCTGAAACATTAACGTAGTAAGTCTCAAACCGGGTAAATACATCTTTGTATTTTATAAAAGGAGACTGTAACATTTATTTTCTTCTTCTTCTTCTTTTTTTTTTTTTTTTAAGATTTTATTTATTTGACAGAGAGAGACACAGTGAGAGAGGGAACACAAGCAGGGGGAGTGGGAGAGGGAGAAGCAGGCTTCCCGCCCAGCAGGGAGCCAAACATGGGCTCCATCCCAAAACCCTGGGATCAGGACCTGAGCCAAAGGCAGATGCTTAACGGCTGAGCCACCCAGGCGCCCCTATAACATTTATCTTTTAAGAACCATTTTTAGGGGCGCCTGGGTGGCTCAGTGGGTTAAAGCCTCTGCCTTCGGCTCAGGTCATGATCCCAGGGTCCTGGGATCGAGCCCCGCATAGGGGCTCTCTGCTCAGCGGGGAGCCTGCTTCCTCCTCTCTCTCTGCCTGTCTCTCTACCTACTTGTGATTTCTATCTGTCAAATGAATAAATAAAAAAAAAATCTTTAAGAACCATTTTTAATCTTTTTTTAATTGCTGGAATCAGTGTCCTTTCACTTCCTGAGACATCTTTGTGCTCTTTAAGGATTTACCTGAGCTATCTCAGGGATTTGCTCTGCCAGATGTTTGCTTAATTTAACTTTGTTATAGCTTTACTGAGGAATAAATGGTGCACGATAAATTGCACATATTTAAACTATATAAATCGGTAAGTTTGGATATATGCTTATACCCATGAGACAAGCACCAAAATCAAGATAGTAAACATTTCCCTCACCCTCCCAAAGTTTCTCCTGCCTTTCATAACCCATCCCACCTCACTCCTTCTTCCTGCCTCCATCCCAAAGTGACCATTGATCTGCTTTTCCTCTTGATAGATTAGTTTGCATTTTCCAGAATTATCTTGAGATTCGTCCATGTTCTTATGTGTCTACGTGGTTCATTTCTTTTTATTTCTGAGTAGTAGTCCATTGTATGGCTATACTACAGTTTTTCTAATCAGATGAATTTACGTAATTGTCTCTCTCCATACTGTCTGGGGGGGAAAAACTGTCTGGAAAAACAACTACAGCAAAACACTAAACCTGTGGCCCACCTCTAGCAAAAGGACAGACTTTAATGCCAGCATGTTCTAAACTCATCTCACTAATTTAATTTTCTCTTCTTTCTTCTTTTGTTGTAAGTTCCCACATTCTCTTATCTTTTAATTTTGTCACGTACATTTAAGTCAGTCATCTCGGTTCTTTTCTGAAATAAGGATCAAGTACAACTAAATAATGTCCAGTTTTCTATTTGATTTTACCACTTACTTCTGTTTTTTTTTTTAAGATTTTATTTATTTATTTGACAGATAGAGATCACAAGTAGGCAGAGAGGCAGGCAGAGAGAGAGAGGAGGAAGCAGGCTCCCCGCTGAGCAGAGAGCCTGATGTGGGGCTCGATCCCAGGACCCTGGGACCATGACCTGAGCCAAAGGCAGAGGCTTTAACCCACTGAGCCACCCAGGCGCCCCATGTCTTCCTGTTTTCTTTAGGGATGCTGGATTTTGTTGACTTGGTCTACTTACTTACAGATGTTCATCATTTCCTGCTTAGACAGCTGCTGCCATCTCCGGAGTCCTGGTCTCTGAGCTCATCTCCCTTCTGTTCACCTGCTATGATGTCACCAGACTATCATTCTACAGCAGAAATCTGATCATGTCATTCCCACACAAAACACCTAACCAAAGGATCTAAAGTCCTTGCCATGATGAGGCAACTCATTAGTCACTCATTCTTTCAACAAATATTTACTGAGCACTGATTATGTATCAGGCTCTATGCTAGCTGGCTAAGTTTGGAGGCATGGTGACAAACTGGAGAGATGTGGCCTGTACCCTCATGGAATTTATATTCTAGCAGGGAGACAAAGAGATTTTTTTTAAATGTGCGCAATATGATTATAAACTGGGTAAACATGAAATTGTTATTAAGTAACCAGGGTGCTGTGACTGAGTTCTGAGAGCAGGGGTGGATGGCAGAGGTGGCCCCTTTGAAGAGGTGACATTTATTCTTTTTTATTTAAAGATTTTTATTTATTTGACAGACAGAGATCACAAGTAGGCAGAGAGATAGGCAGAGAGAGAGGGAGGAGGAAGCAGGCTCCCCGCTGAACAGAGAGCCCGATGCAGAGCTCGATCCCAGGACCCAGGGATCACGACCCGAGCCAAAGGCAGAGGCTTTAACCCACTGAGCCACCCAGGTGCCCCGAGGAGGTGACATTTATAGTGCTTGAATTATGACAAAGAAATGGCCATGGGAAAGGCTCTCGGCCAGGGAAACATCAAGTACAAAGGTCCAGAAGTGGGAGAAAGCTTGGATGGCCAGTATGGCGGAAGGGACAGTCGTTGCTGGACAGTTGAGCTCTGCCTGCTTCTCCAGCCTCATTTCCCAAACCACAGACCCACATGCAGGCACCCTAAATCCCAGACATGCACAGCTACCCCACTCTTTCTTCAACGTGCCATGCCTTCTCATTTTGCACCTGCTCCCTCCTGATGATCCTACTCCTGGTGTTTGGGTTTCTAAATAATACCTCCAACAAAACCTTTGGGTTCCTCTCCTACCCTCTTCCAGGCACCAGACTGCTCCTTCCTCCTCTGGGCCTTCGTAGAAGTCTGTATGTACTTCCCATTTTTTTTAAATAGCTAGCATTTCCTGAGTGCTTTCTGTACAGCGGGGACTATTCCAAGCACTTTACCTGTATACTCCACTTTATGAGGCAGGTCCATTTATAATCCTCAAAACATCGATGAGCAAGAAATTATTACTGACTCTACGATACAGATGAAGAAACAGAGGCCCAGAGAAGTGACATCATTCATCCCCAGTTACACAATGAGGAAACAGCAGTCAGGATTCCAACCCAGACAGTACAGTTTGTATGTTAACAATGAAGACCTTTTGCCTTTCAAGATTGAGAACAGTGGCTAACACTCATGAAGCTCTCCCTATGTGCCAGGCTTCTCAACTCTTGACGTGCATGAACTTACTGCACCCTACAACTCTCTGAGGTAGACACAACAGCCCCCTTACTGGCACTGAGACTAGAACTTTCTTGGGTGGAGCCCAGGTCCTGTCCCAGTCAGCAATCCCAATGTCTCCTACACCCAGAAATTGCTGAACAAATGTCTGCTGGATGGATGAATGAACTATCAGACCCAGTGTTTTTTTTCTTGGCTCACGAATCAAGAGCGTACAGCGCCCAGAAATAGTTGCTTGGAGAAAATTATTATAATGGAATATAAATCTGTTGTAGTAAATATATACCTATGAGAACTAATATAAAGGCTAACTTCACATGCATATTTGCTGCATTTTCAAATGTGAGGTAGGGTAATTCCTTTATATTTCAGAGATTGTATTATATATTAGAAGATGTACTAACCGACCAAAAATGGGGCAAAGGGCTGCTTCTAAGACAGCTCCCACAATAAATCTAATGTGTGTTGAAGTGTTCTCACAGCTCACAAAAACAACACATCAACTTATAAAACCATCTCCATCTTTTGTCTAGCTATTGTTCTTTGACTTGACAGCAAATAAGTTTCACTTATTAGACACAATGAAGAAAAGTTTAAAATGTCATTGAGGGGGGTGCCTGGGTGGCTCACTGGGTTAAAGCCTCTGCCTTCGGCTCAGGTCATGATCCCAGGGTCCAGGGATCGAGCCACGAATCGGGCTCTCTGCTCCGTGGAGAGCCTGTTTCCTCCTCTTTCTCTGCCTGCCTCTCTGCCTACTTGTGATCTCTGCCTGTCAAATAAATAAATAAAATCTTTAAAAAAATAAAAATAAAATGTCATTGAGGGGCGCCTGGGTGGCTCAGTTGTTAAGCATCTGCCTTCAGCTCAGGTCATGATCTTGGGGTCCTGGGATTGAGCCCCATGTCGACTCCCTGCTCAGAGAAGCATCTGCTTCTCTTTTCCCTCTGACCCTCCCCCACTCTTGTGCTCTCTCTCACTCTCTCTCAAATAAATAAATATTTTTAAAAATAAAAATAATAAATCAGTAGGGAAATGCAAATCAAAACCACAGTAAGATATCACCTCACACCCATTAGTAACAAGTATTGGTAGGATGTGGAGAAATTGGAACCCTTGTACATGGCTTGTGGTTATATAAAATGGTGCAACCATTATGGAAAACTTAAAAACAGAATTGCCATAAAAACTTAAAAAAAGAATTACCATATAATCCAGCAATCCCACTTCTGAGTATATATCCAAAAGAATTGAAAGCAGGATCTCAGAGAGATATTTGCACACCCATATTCATTGCAACATTTTTCACAATAGCCAAGAGGTGGAAGAGACCCAAATATCCACAGACAGATAAGTAGATACACACAATGTGGTATCTACATACAATGGACTATTAGCCTTAAAAAACAAAGAAATTTGTCACATGTATGGATGAACCCTGAAGACATTATACTAAATGAAATAAGCCAGTAAAAACAAATACTATAGGAATCCACTTTGATAATGTATCTAAAGTGGTCAGAATCATAGAAATAGAAGGTAGAAGAGTGGTTACCAGGGCCTGGGGGCGGGGAGAAATGGGGAGTAGTTGTTAAGTGGGTACAGGGGTTCAGCTTCGCAAGATGAAAAAATTCTAGGGGCCCCTGGGTGGCTCAGTGAGTTGAGCGTCTGCTTTCTGCTCAGGTCCTGATCCCAGCGATCATGCCTCGCATTGGGTTCCCTGCTTAACAGAAGAGCCTGCTTCTCCCTCTCCCTCTGCTGCTTCCCCTGCTTGTGCTCTCTGTCAATGAGTAAAATATTTTTTTAAAAGTTGAGAAATTCTAGAAATCTACAAGTCACAGTAATGTGAAATATAATTAATACTACTTAACTGTACACTTAAAACTGGAAAGAGGATAAGTTTTATAGTATGCTGGTTTTTTTGCCAAGGGGAAAACAAAAAAAGCTAAAGCAAATAACAAAATGTTCGGATTTAATAAAGTTGGGTGTTGGTTATGTGGTTGGTTATAGTTATTATCTCCAACTTCCATTTATGTAATATTCCATAGTAAACATTTTTTTTTAAATATTTTTATTTATTAGTTGACAGAGATCACAAGTAGCAGAGAGGCAGACAGGAGAAAGCAGACGGGGCTTGATCCCAGGACCCTGAGCCCATGACCTGAGCCGAAGGCAGAGGCTTTAACCTGCTGAGCCACCCAGACGCGCCCCAATGTAAACATTTTAAAGTAGCTATGTTTTATTGGACAGATTTCATAATTTTAAGGCCCAAATGTAAAGACAATACAGACTTTCTCCCTGTGTTCATTTGGACATTCAATATCAAAGTTTCTAACTTGCTGGTAATGAATCAGGAGCTTCATCCTTCTATTGAAATAAACAGCCAAACGAGGAAATGACAAACCACTTATTAACTCTGTATTTTAAATATCAGATGATAATGTCAAGAAAACAACTGTGAATTTATCATTGGAAGCACAGTTTTCGCACAGATTTTTATTAAAAGACATCTAGCCAAGTGAAATTACTTAGAATCTTTGTTTTTTTTTCCAAAGAACTGCCTACGCAAAAAATATTTTGTCTATGGAAAATTAACTCTGGTTTTTTGCTTTGTATTTTGGTGCCTGAGGCTGTCACTAAATTGGGGTGTTCCCCCCCAACTGAACAAAGGTAAAACTGCATTACATTTACTACACATGTATTGAACACAATGCCAAGTATTGTGCTAAATTATCAAATTCCTGGTCTTTGGGATTTTATAATTCTGTTCTCTAATTTGTTCACAAATCATCTTTTACAATTTAGTGCCGGAAATGACATTATGACTAAAATGTTCACTTAAAAACAGACCATAAAAAATTCACCTTGTTTTACAAGGACAGCACTTGTCTTCCTTCTGAAAACATTTTGCTTTGTTGAGGTTACCAAATGCCCCACTTTGGGAAAACATTAAACCAGGAAGCTGTATGACTAACTTGGTTCTGGCAATTGCTAGAACCTCCAAATGAAGTCATCCTATCCGTCAGGAGCTCTCCATTCTAGATTATTCTACCACCCAAACTCCATGACTCAGGAGAAGCTGCCAGTTCGTGACACAAACTCAGACTCATTCTAAGTTTAACAAAAAACAAATAAAAAATTTTAAAAATCACACTTTGTGACAAAAAAGCCTTTCATCAGCGACCTCCAAGTGCAAAATTAAAGAAACTTATATTTATGTTATTCTAGTAAACAGACCTTACCCAATTTTAGTTCATTTAACTTAAACTGTTGTTAAACTCATCATTTACCTGTCTATACTGTTAACTCACGGACACCGTTTTGGAAAAGGACGCTTAGAAATGCTGTATTTCAATGACTGACGACCTTTTCTGAGGGGTATGCCGCTGATTTGCATTAACGTGCTCATCTGCAGACTACTCCTCACTTAGGGAGGTTGGTTATTGCGCCACAAACAGCCCTCTGCTTGTTTATTTCCACCCCCGGCTCCATGACTCAGACTCTGGGCCACGTGTCCCCCAGAGCCCAACGCCCCTGCCTTAGTGGCGTTCCTCGGGTTATCTCCTTGCGGGACATGGGGCCACACCCACGGCGTAGGGAAACCAGCTAGAGGGGTCGTAGCTGGGAAATGCCACCTTATAGGGTCACGCGTTTGGAGGAGAAACACTATTTTCTTGTACACGAATTCCTCGTCTCCCAAAGCGGGTTTTCGGCTTCCCGATCCGCAGCTTTTCCCCCAACCAGAGTTCGGGAAAACAGCAAGGAGGTGAAAGAGACTGCAGGTTTCTGCCCACCGTCGTGGTCACCGGGAGCCCTAGCCCAGTCTCTCTGGGCCTCCTTGGTGGGGGCGGGGCGGGGGAGTGGGAGGCCGGCCCCCCACCCCACAGGTCTCGACCCGAGAGTCTAGCGTACGGATTCTCCTCGGGAATTGAGAAGGACAAAAGCATTCTGACTCTAAAAAGAGTGGCATTAAAGCTCCTTCATCCTGCTATAACCAAGGGCGAAAATGAAAGCAGCCCGGACAGGCTCGCGTTAAGATGGGGGTGGGGAAGTGTGCTTCCGCTGCAGACACTGACAAAACACAGCGGCGGGCCGCGCCGCTCCTGAGCGCCTCCGAACCCGAATCGGGGTGGCCCTCCCGGGAAAGTCGCTGCGGAAGACCCTTTCCCCCTACCTAACGCGGGAAAAACCTAAGACTTAGGGGGGTTTGGGACTTCGGAGGCGAGAGCAAACTACCCCACCTCCCCCACCGGCCGGAAGTACCCCTCTCTCTCAACGGCGCGCCTCTGTGGCGCACGCGCACCGAGTTACTTAGCAACGTCGGCTCTAACCCACCCCAGCTTGGAGCCCAGCAACAACCGAGCCGCCGCGTGTCCCACCAATCAGCGCCGGCCTCGCCTTCACACGCTTCACCAATCAGTGCCGGCGCTGCAAGGAAGTTTCGAGAGCTTTCGAGGAAGGTCCCCCTTAACTCAAATCCATCCGCCAGATAATTTTCCTACTTTTTCCTAAGGGAGGAGAAGGGTCGCCTGGAAGAGAGGGGAACTGATTTTTCAGGGTTTTTTCTTCGGCTCTGAGGAACCTCGGGCTCAGTGGAAGGGCCTAATCGGGCCGCGGGAGGTGGGGCCGCGCGAACTACTTTCAGCCGCGTACGGACACGGCGGCTACGTAAGCAGTGATGAGTCACGCAACAGACGCTGCATAAATTTCAGCCCCGCGGAGCCGCCAGCGTTCAGGAGCGGCTGGCATTGTCGGGTGTGGGTGTCTTGGTGTTTGAGTGACTCGACGAGATTGCGTTCAGTGTCCTTCCACTCGCTAACAGGTACTGGCCGGCAGCCTTCGAGACCTAGGAGGAGTGGAGAGGGGCTCTAAGTGAGACCAGGCTGACGGATTGGGAGGTGGGGGGGTTGCCTCAGGGAAAGGGGTTGGGGGAGGGGAGGGCGAGATGACGCGGCGCTGCGGCGCCGGGCCTTTCCGGAAGAGTGGGCCTTGTTTACGTGGAGGGAGCGGGGGCGGTTGGCGCGCGCGCGCCGACAGAGACCAACCGACACTCAACCAATGGAGATTCCATCGAGTCTGCTTCAGGGGGGGAAGGAGGAAAAAAGGTAGTCTAGTATGCTTTCTAGAACTGTCTTGAGTTTTGAATCCCAGCGCGGTGAAAGGGTCCCACCTCACTTTTTTCTTCAGACGGTAATTTTTATTTACCGAGATTCGGGTTTTGTTTTGTTTTTAAATTCTATGTATCTTCAGGTTTTGGGGAAATTCAAAGGGTGCGGGGGAAGACGGTTTAGAAGACTCTAGAGTAATTAGGGTTCTGGATATTAATCTTTGGGGTTTTTTTGTTTCTTGTTTTTTCTTTTCCGTTTAAGTTGAAGCCTTGATTAAATTTTGCATTCAGCGGCTGATTCAGGAATACTAAAGGGGGGAGTTGTGAGCGATGTTAACGTGGTTAAAGCACTTTGGAGATGAAATTAATTGTTCGCTTTAGAGAATGGGTTATAGGTGTGGGTAATATAAAGATTTTTAAGATTTATTTACTTCTTAATAGAGGCGGGGCGGGGGAGGGGGGAGAATCCCAGTCAGGCTCCATGTTTAGCGCAGATCCTGACTCTCAGGGGCTCTCTCCCACGACTCTGATGACCTAAGCGGGTGTCTTGAGTGAAGGCACTTAACCCATTGGGTCACCCAGGCACCCCGCTAATTAATACAAGGATCTTGAGATGGTACGCTGACGTTTTTCTTCTTAAAATCTAGGTCAAGATGCAGATCTTCGTGAAGACCCTGACCGGCAAGACCATCACCCTGGAGGTGGAGCCCAGTGACACCATCGAAAATGTGAAGGCCAAGATCCAAGACAAAGAAGGCATCCCCCCAGACCAGCAGAGGCTTATCTTTGCCGGCAAGCAGCTGGAAGATGGCCGCACTCTTTCTGATTACAACATCCAGAAAGAGTCCACCCTGCACCTGGTCCTGCGCCTGAGAGGTGGCATGCAGATCTTCGTGAAGACCCTGACCGGCAAGACCATCACTCTGGAGGTGGAGCCCAGTGACACCATCGAAAATGTGAAGGCCAAGATCCAAGATAAGGAGGGCATCCCCCCAGACCAGCAGAGGCTTATCTTCGCCGGCAAGCAGCTGGAAGATGGCCGCACTCTTTCTGATTACAACATCCAGAAAGAGTCAACTCTCCACCTGGTTCTCCGTCTGAGGGGTGGCTGTTAATTCTTCAGTTTTGAATTCGTAGTGCCCAATGATGGCATTGCTCTGCACTATAGCCATTTTGCCCCAATTTAAGTTTAGAAATTACCAGTTTCAGTAATAACTGAGTCACTGGTTTTCTCAATAGCTGTTCAAAATGTTAATAAAAGTTTTGTTGCATGGTAGCATACCTGGTGTCTGTCGTGAAATTATGTAGTGGTGTGGGGACTATTACCTGATTAAAACCAAGTTCAAAGAAGGGACTTAGCATTCAAAAAGTCCGTTTCATCAGCACTAAGTCATTTTGTTTGAGAAAAGGGTGTGTTACAGGGAATTTATCCTTCAAGGTCTGTCTGAATGATCTTGATGTAAGGGGGAACCATTTCTTAAGTATTGCACAATTAAAAGTTGCTGAATATGGAGGCTTGATGAGGGGAAGCAAACTTGATTACTATCTTCCTCTTAAATAGTGGTAAACAAAGCTACTGAAGCATTATAGAGAGAAATGAAATTTTGGTTGAGGCTGCTAAGTTGTGTCATCAAGTATTTTGATTACTGGTTGACTGCTCATGTTGGCTGTCAAGTGCCTTCCATTCAGGTTCTGACCATAGGTTATGAAACCCTAATTTCTCTGCAGTACATGAGCTTCAAACCAAGTGGAGTCCTCGTCAACAGATTTGGAAGAATTCAGGTTTGAGGAATGACCTGATCCAAGGCAATTTGTTGACTTTGGTTTTAGGCAACAAATGAAGGTGGTTCCTAAAAGTAAGCTCTGCCTAACATGGGGTTTAAACTCTCAAAGCTGTTGAGATCAAATGGCATGTTCTGCCAACTGCTAGGCGCTTCACTGGTCCTTAATGATAATTGCACATTTTTTTAAGGAGAATCAGTAAAATAACAGCAAATGAGCTGAGTCTTGACAAAAACCTTCACTATAGAGTCAGCCAGATGCAAGCAGTTCTTACACATCCATACCAATAAACATGTTTCCAATAAAATGAAGTAAAAACCTTATCTGGATGGGAGGGTACCCTTTATTGTTAACGATACCTTAAGTTCTCTCTCCTGCATTCACAGTACCCTGTTGTGGAACTTGAGTAAATAGCTAAAGCGGTTTTCAACTTGGGACAAAATGGGAGTTGAAGGGAGTGCAGTGTAAGGGGGAGAAGTTAGAAACCCTCTTGGGTTTTCCCAAATTGACACTAGTAGGAAAATAACTTCTGGTGCAAAAACGTGATTTCAAGTGTGCTGTTAGGAGTAAGAACAAGAACTTAAAGATAGAACAGCAGAGCAGGGAGAGAAGCAGAATGAGAAGTAGGCTTCCTGCTGAGGAGTCCTGTCATGGGACTCAATCCCAGTGCTCTGACATGATGACCCAAGCCAAAGACACACCTGACTGAACCACCCAGGCAGCCACGGGAGTAAGAACATCTTAAATCACCGAGGTGTGTGACGACAAAGCTGTACATTATGCCAAGAAACAGGCCTCTGTAGGTATACCCGACAGTGGCGGGCTTGCTGCATAATTTTGGGAACTCTGTTTTAGCTGTAGTTTCTTAATTTCTGTCCTAGAAATTTACTTAAGTTTGAGTATGAAATACTAAGTTGGTGTACTGAACCAAGGTTTTCGTTCTAAACTGGACTGTGGAAATACTATTTAGTGGGCTGTTTTCAGTAAGTATTTCAACACCCTAGAATGGTAATGCTTGAGCTAGAAAGGGCAAAACAGCTACGTTAAAACTTTGGAGGTGGTGATGGAAAATTCATTTTAGATTTAAGGAAACAACATTCACTTTCAGATGGGAAGGATTTCGATATTGGAAGGTGACATCCTCTCCAGTCCCAACATTTTATGGTTGACTTGCTCAATGCCTACTTCTTAGTTCAAGCCAAGAACTCAAGTCCAAGTGTCCTGTCAACTAGGAGTTAGAAACCTCAAAATTGACAATGTTTTAGGCATATATCCTCAAACTAGTGTTTTTAAGGTGGCGTTTTGCTGAATATTCAGCAGAGTAAGAACAGGCCTTTTTCTAGTGAAGCTGGGTTTCAAAGATAAGTCTTGATTCTTTCCCAGACTTTCCTTTACACTTAATAAAACCCTTGATTAGAAAACCTGGAGAATAAAAGTATTTCACTGAATAAAAACCTAGTGGTGGTTTGGGCATTAGGACTTGAACAGCTGTGTTATTATTTCTCCCAAATCTTCAGTGTCTTGACGGTTGGCTGCTCTGCACAGTCTTGTGGATCTTGAGAATAAAAGATACAGCTTACACTGTTTAATTTTCTCAGGGTCTCTTCTGTAGGGGTTCCCTATGAATTCATTGTTTAGCAAATCCTCTCTGCACACCACTTGAAATGTGACCGAGAGAAATGCTCTCTGTGTGTTGGTCTTCAACAACCTCTGCTCTCAGTTGAGTTTGGGAAATGAGTTTATCACTCGTGGCCTCAAACCTTGCTCTACATAGAACAAAATTGAGGCCAGTTGTAGTGTGTGGTTCCTGTTCGTTTCTCTTGACCACTGGTAAGGCACTGGCAATGCCGGGGGGCGGGGGGTGGGGGCGGGAATGTGACTGGGAGTGGGGTTTTGCTTTGGGGATGTTCTAGAAAGGGATGGGTGGGGTGATAAAGATGTGTTCATGTATCTGAGTCCAAGATAACTCATTTTTATCACCTAGTCAACTTAATGTTCTTTGTCCTCCTAGAGTTAGTTCCTCATCTAGCTGCGAGAGATATAGTTCTCAATTGCACTGTTAGTCTAGATGCCAAAGAGCCCGTGGGAAGAGAGAGACCTGTGTTCTGCCATGGCCTGTGGTGAAAGTACCACACCGGCCCCTTAAGAAAATGTTTGCCCTCTACTTCGAATCCAGTAAAAGCAGGGTTTCTTTTAATACATCTCTTCCGAAACAGTGCTCATACCTGTGTGCAAAGATGTGCTAAAAGAGGGACCCCTGGCTCGTTCAGTCAGTAGAGCATGCAACTCTTGATCTTGGGAGTTGGGAGGTCGAGCCTCATGTTGGGGGTAGAGATTACTTAAAAGATTTAAAAAAATGGGGCGCCTGGGTGGCTCAGTGGGTTAAAGCCTCTGCCTTCGGCTCAGGTCATGATCCCAGGGTCCTGGGATCAAGCCCCACATCAGGCTCTCTGCTCAGTGGGGAGCCTGCTTCCTTCTCTCTCTCTCTGCCTGCTTCTCCGCCTACTTGTGATCTCTGTCAAATAAATAAATAATTTTTAAAAAATCTTTAACAAAATAATATTAATTACACCTATCTCAGAATAGTTAGGAGGATTACATGTCAAAGTGCTTCAAACAATGCAAAACCTTGCCTAGTGCTTATAATGCTATTTAATGCAATAACAAAATTGAAAATGACCTAATTGCCCATGAAAGGAGAGTGGTTACATCATAATAATGCAGTAAAGAATGCAGGAGATAGGAACTGACATGGAAAAACATTCAAGTAAGTGAAAAATGCTCTGGAGAATAACATGTATGCGGGCATAAGCATGCAAAAAGGTGCACCCCTGTTTAATATTGGCTGCTTCAGGAGTGTAAAGGGGTATGTATTTTAATTCCTTCCTAGGTATTTTTAACTCTGCCACCTGTCAGCTTCTGGGAAGACTGAAGTCGTTTACAAACACAACAGCGTTGTTCACACATAGCCCCTGTTGAAGAACCAGCGATGTTATTCTGAAGTCAAACTGTGCTCCCGAAGGGGATAGAGTAAATTTCTCGCACAAGTCTCTTTCATTCTCTGTGGATCCTCCAGGACCTTTAGAAACTACATCTCATGGGACTAACTGAACCTCAACACATTTCATTTTCATTCTACTCTGCTCATTCCTCAAAGAAGCTGTAGGGACAAGCCATGACTCCCCTTTAATCAGGCCCAGCCCACTCTGAATGGAAGCTTTAGACCAATGGGGGGGACTTTTGGGAAAGGATCTTGCACTTAGTGCAACAATATTAACAGAAAAATAAGTGTGGAGTTTGCTTCTTTTTTCACACTTTCTTGACCCCATCACTATCCTTATCCTCCTGTTTTCGGGGGTGGGGGGCATCCTCAGAAGTTGAATGGGAAAGTGCACTCTCTAGCCAGTAAGTCTCACCCAACCTGCATAATTTATTCTAGTATCTACTCCTCTGTTCACCCAACACCTATCAGGACTCCTCTTAAGGAATATTTTTACCTTCAGAAAATTCTGGTTTCAGTGTTTCCCAAACTTTGTCCTCCAAACCACTGTGAAAAAGATGCTGTGGTCACAAGAGCTCCGGAGGTCATTGTCTCCCTCCTAGACACTTACAATGTGCACTAGTATGTTAAAGGTTGCAGGAAGTTTAGCTCTGAAGAACTGGTTTGATGTTTAACACAGTGTTTTTCTATTTCCGGTTTCCCTCGTGACCTCTCCCCTGCCTCCCTAACCACTGCTGATGGTGCTGGGTTCCAGTATTAATTTTGTTTAAGATGTTTATTTGTTTATTTGAGATAGAGAAAGAGCGAGAAAGCAGCAGAGGGAGAGGGACAAGCAGACTCCCCACTGAGCAAGGAGCCCGATGCGGGGCTCGATGCCAGGACCCTAGGATCATGACCTGAGCTGAAGGCAGACGCTTAACCAGCTGAGCCACCCAGGCGCCCCTAATTTTTCACTATTAAAACAATGCTGCAGTGCCTTTTAATGCCTTTTATGGCACATGTGCAAATATTTCTTCAGGCTATACCTAGTGGTAGTGGTGAAAATGGAATTGTTGTATCAAAGAATATGGCATTTTAAAACCCATGATTACTATAAAATTGCCCTTCAGAAAGATTGTGCCACATGCAATGGAATATTATTCAGCCCTAAAAAGGGAGGAAATTCTGACACATGGTACAGTGTGGATAAAAGTTGGAGACGTTATGCTAGGGGAAATGATAGGGGAAATGAGTTGTTCACAAAAGGGCAACTACTGTGTGATTCCCCACATACCCGAAGTACCTAGAGTCATCAAATTCATAGATGCAGAGTGGAATGGTGGTTGCCAGGGGCTTGGGGGGAGGGAAAGGAGAATTAGTTTTTAGTGCGTAGGAAATTTCAGTTTGGGGAGAGGAAAAAGTTCTGCAGATGAGCGTAGTGGTGGTCACGCAACAGTGTGAAGGTACGTGATGTCCCTGACACATACCACTTAAAAAGGATTAAAACGGTACATTTTTT